TGTGGGTTGTCCTACTATCAATCACCACGACTCCACGATCAGCTATCTCTCCCTTTACCTTCATAGTGTGACTCGGAGTGAATCCCACTACGGAGTTGAGAGAGACTTCGGCCACATCTAAATGCATCTTTTCCACCTCCACCTCAGAATCGCTTCCCCCTCCCTCTTCGTCTTCCTCGTCTTCAAAAACGAGGAGAACTTGAAGAGTTCGATCTTTGCACTTGTGCCCTGGCGTGTATTTTTCATCGCATCGGAATCACAACCCTTTTGTTCTTTTCTCCTGCATTTCCTTCTCAATGAGCCTCTTGAACTGCCCCCTATTTCCTCCTCCAGTGGCTTTTTCCTTCGTTCTTTCATCCCTCCTGGGGACGCTCCCTTGGGGGCTAGGTGGGTAGTCGTCCACCTGTAAGTGCCTCCTGAGCTACTACTACTCCTAGCTCCCTTCTCCAAGTTCTTTTGATTTTCAACAAACTGTATAAGTTTCATGGCCTCTCCCAGGTCTTTGGGCATCAGGACCTTCACCGCTGCTCGAACCTTGGCCTTTAACCCCTTCATAAAATTTCCTTCTAGCACCGTCTCGGACAAGCGCTCTACCCTGCTGGCCAGATGCTCAAACCTCTCTCGGTAGTCCGCCACAGACCCCTCCTGCACTAAGGGAAAGAACTGCTCGTAGAAGTCTCCTCCCCGGTCGGTTTGGAAACGCTCTAACAAACTGTCCTTGAATTCTCCCCAGCTCCGGATAGGTCTCCTCTGATCTCTCCACTAGTACCAAGAGAGTGTCTTCCCTTCCAGACACAAGCCTGCTGCCGATAATTTCTCCTCCTCCGTTAAGCCATTAACAACAAAGTACCTCTCTACTTTGTAGATCCACCCATAGACATCATCCCCTTCGAAAATGAGCATTTTTAATTTTCTCACCTTCCGATCCACACCGTTCCCCCTTAATCCTCTATAGTTTCCCCTCTCCCATGTGCCTGGGCTCCCATCATGTCTCCCTATCTTCCCTTGCTCTATCCTGTCCCCATCACCCTTCAAAATCCCCTCTCTGATCTTCAAGAACAGCTTCCTGGCGCCCATGATAACCACCCCGATGCTCCCAACCAGCACCTCTTGGTTCCACGCCTCCATAGCCTTGCCTTTCCCCATATCTTCCTCCTCTCTCCTCCCTCTGGAAAGGCTCCAAATGAGGCCTTCCCCTACTCCCTTCCACGATTTCCACCTCCTCTTCCTCCCGATGGATTTCAGAGTTGGTGTTCTTCCCTGCTGGCCCTTTTGCATCAGATGCCGCCGATTGTGTTTAAAACTCCAACATCTTTTTCATCATATCCCGTAGATCGGTTGCTTGCCCCTCCATGGAAGACGTTTGTTCCTCCACGGTCTCCTTGATTTGATTTATCTCTCATTTAATTCTCTCTTTCAAAGCATCCACCTTTTTAGCCGCCATCCAAAGGAAACCGAAACTTTAAGACATTTCTGGATCTGAAAAAAAATTCAGCAAAAACCTCCTTGCCGTTCAAATTTCAGCCACCGAAAACTATAAAAATCAGCCCCCGATCGGCCCCAAGATGTGCTCTAATACCAATTTGATAGTCAAGTATTTCCTATTCGCTTTTACAACAACTCTCAAAGCAAACTGCTGTCCACAGTAGGAAAACCGTCCAAAACAGAGGAAAAAACAGGAAAAACTACAAGAACCTTGGAGAAAAGACTTGTATTTTACTAGTAGATGCAAGGAAAATAGCAAAGATACAAGGATCCTCTATTCGAGAGGAGGATCTCACTCTCCCAATCTCTAGAATTCGATCTAGAGCCCTAGCGACCAAAGAAGAACAAGAAAACTCTTACAAAATATGACATAACCCTAATCCTCTCTTTACTCCCTACTTAATGCGTACAATTCAAATCTAATACAAAAGGACCTAATTACCCTTGCTTCCCCTCCTTTTTGCTCCAAGATTCAATTTGAATTTCAAGTGGACCCCACCTAAATCTCCCCATTGGCTTCCGCCGGCTCCTCCTGCTGTATACGAACTGAGCCGGCCCAAGGGGCTGGGCCAGCTGGACCGGTCCAAGGAGGACCGGTCTAACAGAATCACACTTAATAGCAGTTAAGCGAATATTTCGCTATTTGATATGAACTTCTAAGTTAGGCTTATGGTATCAAAAATTTTTTTTATCATGTAATTTAGTTGCATATTCTGATGCAGATTATGTTAGTTGTAAAGTTGATAGTAAAAGTTCATTTGGATATATCAATTTTTAGGATCATCATTTATTTCTTGGTCTTCTAGAAAATAAAATTATGTTTCTTTATCCACAGCTTAAGCATAATACTTAGTTGTAGGTAGTTGTGCTGCTCAAGTTTATGGCTAAACCAACAATTAAGAAGATTTTGAAATTAAGCTTAAAATATTCACATTAAATGTGTAACACAAGTGCAATTAGTTTAATAAAAAATTTTATGCAACATTAACGAACTAAACACAGAGATTAAACATCATTTTATTAGAGATCATGTTAACAAAAGTGATGTGGATATATATTTTGTAAACACAGATTCTCAAATAACTGATATTTTTATAAAACCATTAGTTGAAGAGAGATTTTACATGTTTAGATGTAAAAATTTAAATATTAAGGTCAAACATCCCAATCATCTTGGAAGTAAAAATAGTAAGTAAATATAAAGAAAATTGTAGGAATCAAATATTATGACTGATTTTTGGATTATATTCAATATTAATGAAACATACTATTCTAGAGGTAGATCAGCTTTCCCACAAACCCCAAATGCCATTAGGAAATTCACAACAAACCTTAGAATAAACTTTAGCAAAACATAAGCTCCAAAATCTAAACCAAACTCCCCCTTAAATTGCACTAACATATAATTAAAACCTTCCAAAATAACATAAACACTATTAGGAAACCTTCCTAAACAATTAAACCCTTCCTAAACAACATAAATATAATTAGGAAACCTTGCTAAATGATTAAACCCTTCATAAATAGCGAACACAATTATAAAATCTTCCTAAATAGCTCTCCCTTGATGAACCTTCCTAAACAACTCTCTTGATTAGGAGCCTTCCTAAACAATTTCCCCTTTATTAGAAACTTTCCTAAATAGCTCTCTTGATTAGGAACCTTCCTAAACAGCTCTCTCTACCTAGCTGTAGGCCCCCGGCATATCAAGACGAAAGGAGAAGGATGCATTTTTAAATCTAGCAATCCACCGACAACATTTTTGAAGGAGTGATTGGAATTAGTATGAATCACTGGAATAGATGGAATCATTGAAACTGTAAGAGCAGCCAATGAGGGGGACTGCTGAGAAGGAATTGGGATCAAGGAGATAGAAATTCGACTGCTCGAAAGAGGAGAGGATGCGAATGACCATGACCTTTAGCGAGGGAATGAGAAAACCGAAACTTTTGATTGCCTGCCAATAGCCATTTGGAAGTGACCACCACCATTGTGTGGCGTAAGCATAGGCATGCATTACACAAGGCCAAGATGCAATATGAGAAGCTCGCATGTGGCAAGGTGACAAGAAAGTTGAGTATGATTTGATCGTAAAAAGTGCACGAAAACAAGCAATGAAGAGGAGTGTTGGGCTAGCCGGCCACAGGCAAAAACATGGATGAATCTTATAGATTAATTACTTGAGTGAATTCATTACTTAAGGATTCTTCATTCAGGTTACGTTGAAACTCATTTAGGTTGCTTTTTCTTACTTTTGTTATGAGATTATATAATCCTAGTTATGTTTGTTAAGCTTTCTAGTATATAGGTGAGATAAGTAGGTTTAAGGATTGTTGGTTATAGGGAGATTTGTGATAGAAGCAAGCCGCATGATAGGTCAAGGACATGACTTGTTTTTATTATAAGAAGAAATGCCACAATGATAAAAATTATGAAGTTTTGAAGTATTGTGATAGTGGCTACAAGGAAGGCATGTCATTAGATGCTATTATCGCTGATGATTGATTAGTTATAGATTCAATTAATGCTCTTTCTATCATAGTAAAAGTTAAATATAGTGATCAATGAATTATGAACTCAATTTAATAGTATAATATTTGTCCTTTTAAAGATTTGTTTTTCATAGTTGAGATATATACAAGTGGCTCTATTTGTGCAAAAAATTATGTAGTGTCTAAGATAGTTGGCACTCTGAAGATGAAAATGCATAATATTATGACTGCAACATATGGAGCTAGCCATTTACAAGATCTTGAGAAAATATTTTATTTTCTTAGCATTCTTTGTTAAGCAAGAGACATGTTCTTAGAATTTTTTTATTTATGATAAACGTATTTTGATTCTGAGTTACTTTAATTTTACTACCTTTGTTGAAGCATGTGACTTGAGGAAGCGTAAAAATGTTTGCTTGTTTTAGAACAATGGAGAACACATGTTGAGGCTAGGATCATTGGAGATAATCAAATATATTCAAACTTGTGTGCTCATTCTATACCTTTGCATGTTGTATCATGTAGTATTTAGGGTGAAGAGGAGGTTTCTGAGGATGAAAACCCAATGGAGACAACTTTTGATATTGGTGGAGTCATCTCAATATGCAATACATACGCCTAAGGATCTTTCACGTGTCAAGTTCATGCATAAATTATTTGGCGAAGAACAACAATTAGACTCTTTATACTCCCAACTTGCCTACGGAAGAGCTCTTTAAGTGTTCTTTCTTTTTTTTTTTAAACATATTTGAGAGAAGGAGATATTACATAAGGATTATCTACTATATAATGAAGTGTTAAATGGAAAGGTGGGTTTCATTTCTATTGATGAATCTTGTGCTCATTTTTCTGTTGAATTAATAGTGGAGACTAGTTTCTGAACTTTCTTGGGTCCTATTTTACTTTAATATAAAACTCCTAGCATAAATGGGATCTATGGAGGATATCAATTCTACTATTGAACTTAAATATGTATTCCTTCAATTAGCATGCCAATTAATTACGATCGATTTGGTTTTGCAGTTCAATTTTCAGTTTGATTTGCCTACGGAATTGCACTACTCGAGCTGCTCCGCTGCGTTAGATGGTAGAGGCAGCCTTACAAATGGTAATTTTTCCTTTTATTTGTGGAGGAAGTTTTAACTATGGGCTGACTCACTTAGCTGCAACTGTAGCTGCTTTTATATTTCCATTAGGAGTAAATAGGTAGAATGATCCCTAAAGTATTTGTGTGGGGCTGTTTTAGTCCCATATTATTTTAAATGTAAAATTTATTTCCTTGAATCCTTAAATATGATTCAAAATAGGCTTACAATTAGAATTACTGTTTAATTTGATGAAAATTTCATGTAAAGTTCACAAGTTAGGTGGAAAATGAGATATTTCATGCAAAACAAGATTTATAAAAACATTTTTTTTAAATACTGCCATCTCTCATCTCATACGTGAACTTTGCGTGAAAAATTCATCCGAATAAATTCTGAGTTTTATCTGTTAAACTATTTGGACTATATTTGAGGGGTCATTAGACGTGCTAAATAGTTCAGGATTAAATTGATCTCTCACAAATAATACAGAGATATTTTTAACCCTATCCTCATTTTATTACAAAGATCAGTATTCAGTTATACTCTACTCTGTTGCAATAGCATGCATCAGGCCACCACCATTGATTCCCTCCTGAAGTGAATGAAAATAATTTTGTTGATGCTAATTTCTAGGAAAGTATTTTGATCTTATCAGTTAATATTATAAAACTTTCATGGAGAAAAGTTGCTGGATATATTTCCAGAGATTCAAAAGTAGTAGTTTCTGCAAGCTTCTTCTTTTACAATACTCTTCTTCATAATGGAATATGAGAATGTTGGTAGAATCTGTTCTTATCTGTGTAAAAGTTACAGATAATCCAGTTAGGAGGAAAACTATTACCATGACCTGTTAGGAAAGATGTTAGTCAAATGTTAGATGGAATGGTAACTTCATAGTACAAATTATTTTTATATATCCATTATTTCGCTATTTTCCTTTCATCTTCTACCATAATTCTTTTGAAATTCTTGTTGCAGGAAATCTTCGTAGTTAATGATTTCAACAACTTGCTAAATAAATGAGTTGCTATAACTTCTGTTTGAAGCTCTGCAAATTTTCTTGCAGTAAAAATGGCTCACTTTCTTAAGACAGATGAATCCATACCCCAAATAATGGAGTATTTCTCAGCAGACATCACAGTTGATGAGATTAACTTAAGTGGTAAAAATACCATTCTGATTTATTGTACAGTAGCATCTATTCATTCATATAATGTTATTTGTTTATAATTCCAACAGCGTCACAGTTTTCCCATATGTGAGTCTTCTTGTTCCGACTTCGCTGTGAGGTCTTGTAAACAATGAAATAAAATTTCTTCCAATGTATTTCTTTGTGAAATGCTTCATATAAATAAAATTACTAACATCTTTTTGTGCTGTTTCTCTGCTATTGTTCTTTTATTTGAAATGCGGCCTAAGCTGAGGCTTGAGTGGTTTGTGCATTTCAAGCTGAGGCATAAGTTCTATGTTGTTCTCAAGGTCCACAGCAAATGTTGATGAATTATGTGCCATGATAAACCTGCCTAATGTTTCAATTTCCACCAAAAAACTTAAAATTTCTGATTTTCAATGTTTAATTGCTAAGACTTCCTCTTTGCTGGATGGCTGGAAATGTAAATCTCTCTCCCTTGCTAGTCGCTTGCAATCCCTTAATTTCACAAACTCTAATACTATTGCTTGCTGGATCAAATGTGCTATTTTACCTAAAACTTGTATTAAGCAGCTTAATAAACTTTGTGCCCGTTATTTGTGCCGTGGTGATATTTTTGATAGGAAGTTGCAACTTATTTCTTGGAAGGCTACTTGCAAACCTATCCCTTTTGAGGGGCTGGGTATTCCCTACATTCCTGATCTAATTTTTGCTATCACTATGCTTTGATTTGGCGAGTGCTCACTTCTGAGTCTCTCCTCGCCATGCTCTGGAAAATGAAGTACATCTCCTTTTGGATAAATAACAACTATAATACTACTTCAAACTTGTGGAAAGCTCTTAGAGTTTCTTGGGAGAAAATGGAGCCTGATATTCATCTGAAAGTTTGGAATGGTTTTGCTTTCTCATTTATGCGGGCTTTTGTCACGACCCGGCCCAAAAATTCGATCTAACGAGACGGGAATGAAAGTTGGACAGTATTAACAATTTAGGCTTCGTTTGGGACGGCTTTTTTATTGCTTTCTAAAACGGAGTTTTAGTACAAAAATAAAAAATTTTGTACTAAAACTCCGTTTTAGAAAGCAGTAAAAAAGCCGTCCCAAACGAAGCCTTAATCATATCACATACAACTTCTCAATATTATTGAAGAGCCACTAATTTGAAAATACTTTAATCAATCTATGTCAAAACTAAGCATTCACATCAATTATCTTTTACCTATTTTCAATGTTTTGTGGTCTTCTATATAAATACTCTTTCATGTCTGTCGTTTCTAAATCTCTGAAGATTTACTCGAAACATTGTTTAATGGAATAAGTTTACAAAGTAAACTTAGTGGGTAATTTTTATAACACTTAATATATATAAAGTACAATACAATTAACCTTTAATATAAGTCTATTCATTTAACATTGATATATTTTTCCTTCTCTTTGTTTATTTTATTTCATTCATTCTTTTATACATATCATATAATACCCATTTATAACATTTAAAATATTTTAACCTAAATTTCTTTTCCCATTTAATTAGTACATAGCACCGTCTAAATGTTCCAAAGGTACAACCATTTCCATTTTCTTTTTCCTTTTTCATAACCTTTTCCTTTTTACGTGCACGGGTACCTTGCTTCCCTATCTAATATTATATGGGGGTGAACTCCTGTAAGTTTGCATGCATATCATTTTTCCTTTTTATTTATTTTTCATTCATTCATATATCATTCATTCGTATGCATATTTTTTAAATACCTATAAGTAACATATACAAGTATAAATGTTTTCTAATTTTTCTTTATATTTTTTTTTTTTTTACCTTTTTTCACATATTCATACTATCTTTATATACTTTATCAAGATAATATATGTATATTATCTTATATACATTTAAAGTTTACATAGATTTATTTATAATAGCCTCACAATAAACAAAGCAATTATATAAATCATTCTTTCAATATGAAAATGGAAAGAAATAATGAAATTTTAAAAACTATAATTACCCACTTTATTTTCCTCTTTCAATATTCATCCGGTTTTGAAAATCTTTAATTGTTCACGAGAATATAATAATTTAATTAATATTAAAAATAAATTAAATATATCAATAGGCATTTGATTTCTTCTACAAAACTTACCTCACAAGATTTCTTTTCTTTTCTCCGAAAACTTCCTTCCTCCATCGTCAAACCAAAATCTATATCACTTGGCTTCTTCCAACCTAAATTAAAATATAGTTATCATGTTTATTCAGTAAAAGAAACAAGAAATGAAAACATATGACCTCAACTAAATTACTTACCTTTCCTTACGAAGGAATTCTAAAGTTCAATTCCTTCTTTTTCTCTCTCTCCAAATTTCTTTCTCGTCGCATTGGATCTCTTGCTTTTCCCTTTAGGAAAATATCATTTGATTTAAATGAAGTAAAACAAGAAAATTTATATAAAAAAATGAGTAGAAAATCCAACAAACCTTCTATCTTTTCCTCGGTTATTCCTCTTGTTCGTTGAAATTTCTTCCAAATTATCACTTCATTAGCGATGGGAATGAAAAGGATTTGATAAATTTAATCCTCCCACGTAATCGTTCTCTAAAGATGGAAAAACGGATATAAAAAATCTTCCTTAGCATGCGTTCGGTCCGCCCAGATGTTTTGCTCTTATGTTTTGTTCGCAAAACTGACCCCCCTTATAGGGTCGCAACTTTTATTAGGAGATTGGCCGGTTCAACCAAACCGGCCACCAAACCGGTCCATTACAGGATCCCTGCATTATTGGGAAGTCATTGGTTGGATAATTGCTCCTCTTTTTTGCATTTGGTGAATCAGGATGCCACTGTTGTTAGTTTCATGATCAATGGGGTTTGGAACCTACCTTATTTCCTTCCTTTGAATATTTGAAGAGTTTTTTTTTCTCAATTCCTATTCTACTTGAGGAGAATAAATGTATTATGTGGATGCATAAGGGAAAACATAAGATTAATCTTTTATTCTTTCCTCTACTCTGTCTTCCCTCCTATTTGGGCTAAGATAGTCTGGCATCGATGGCATTCCATCTGTTTCTCTATTTTTAGTTGGTTGAAACTCATTGGGGGACTTAAGATTATAGATGCCTTGATTAAGTTTAATCCTACTTGTATTCTTTGCAACGCATCCCTAGAGAACATCAGTCATCTCTTCTTCGAATGTGAATTCTCTTTTAACATCATCTCTAAGATCTTGCATTGCTCGTCTTTATATATGTTCAGGCATAATATCTACAAAATGCTAGAATACTTTGAGGCATGCATTCATTTACAGGAGGATGTGATTGTGGGCTCTGAAAATTTGGCCCCGGCCTCCCCGTTGCTATTCGGGGAGTTTTAACGGATTACGTTATGGGATAAATTTTAGGAAGGTAGAATGGGAATGTAGATAAGACGCTACTCAAATATTTCGCCCTTAGTTTGCGAGGACTTTATAATCTGAGTTCTGGTTTCCTATAGGCGCAATCCCGTATAGTTAATTATCCCTCTCGATCACAAGAGAGAACTTTTGATTAAGGCTAGTCGTCATCCGATACATAGAGACTACGTGTTAACTGGTATATAATAGCAGCATGGGCATTGGGATGTGGAAATCTAACACTTAAAATTAAAAAATTCACCATCTTGCACTTGAAGCAGATGGTGGGGGAATGGATAATAGACCTAATCAAGATCCCATGGATCCGTGGTTCTGAGCCATCGTGCTCCCGAGCCATCGTGCTCCCTGGTCTACTTAGTCAGAGGAGATAGTCGACCCAACCTGAGAGAAGGATCCTTGTCGGCAACCATTGGTTGAATTGTCCAAGGGTACCTTGTAGACATGTGGTGGATGTTTGTCTAAGGGGACAAATCTGAATCCACTTTAGCTAACAGAGGAATTTATGCCCTATCGATTATATCCTATTGATTAATTTCTCAAGGATTTGATGCCATTGTGGAGTATGCGAACTCTGGCCATAACCGTAACGTAGTGGTGTCATTTGGCGGCAAACCACCAGGTTCAAAGGGCCCGGTCATAATCTTTTACCTGTGATGCCATTTGGCGGCAAAACTGCCGGTTAGAGGACACTTGCCACATCCTTCCTGGAAGAAGATTATTTGAGAATGAATTATAATGATATTCTCAACCAAACATTTAGCTCTTTGTGAGCTGAAGTATATTTTCAAATTTATTTACCTTGACAAACTACTGTGGAGGGTGGATGAATTTTATTTTAAGCATTTGAATGATTGAATTTCAATTTTAAATATTTGGAGTTTTAGAATCTTTGGAATTTCGAATGTTTGATGGGTATTTGGGTAAAATTTTGAAATATTAGAATTAACCCCACCGGTTGAGATTTTCTGTCAACATGTCCATCATCGGGGTATTATGGGTAATTACATTTTATGGGAATTTTAACTTTATGGAAGTTTGGAGGAATTTGAAATGATTTGAGTTAACCCCTATGGTTGAGATCTACGTTCAACACGGTCATCAACACGGTGTTTACGAGGAATTCTCATTTATAGATTGAACATTGACGACTCTATTGACTTGCCGATAGAGTATCGGGTTTTATAGGCTTTATGTTTTATTAATGAATTTATCTTCTCTTAGGCCTTGAAGGTCTTATATGATTGTATAAAATAAATATTCCGGTCAACACCTTAACCGTATATCTGTTTAATAATTCGAGCCATGTCGACTCCTATCTATCCATATAAAAGGATTGGGCTAGAACTGTGGTTCATTCATTAACCTGTGCAACATCCCTAGATGTCACGTGTGTACCTGTAACACAATCACCAGGGAACATGCAGGTGTTTGGGGGCATTTTATAATCATTTGATGAACCATGTCGACTCCTATTTACCTGCTTAGGAGGATTGAGTTTAAATTTATTGACTCACACAACATCCCTAGACGTCATGTGTGTTCCTACAACACGCTTGCTGGGGCTCATGCAGGTATTTGATTGCACATGCACTTCTTTGTGTTTATGTGTATATATTTGTGGTGCATGTGAAGGGGCATTTTTAAGAATATTTGACACTGCTCAGTTGTGTGGGAAACCCTCGTTTGAAAGCAGCATTCTATTTGGAAGTTCGTACACGGGTTCTGTCAGCTTGTAGGGATGTTGCAGATCCTATGGCGAGGCACTGGGTTTCATTTGGGGATTTGTAAACATCTTTGTCCGCTTGCATGGATGTTGCGGATCTGGTG